GCAATTTTTTAAAATCTTTTTTTCTTTCTCTTTAAATGTCACTAACTATTTTCTTTAAATTTTCTGCTCGTATGTATCGAGAGTCGGTAAAAATATTGTGCTAGTCTCGTTTTCGGCAAACTCTCCGAATTTTCGAAAATTACAAATTTTCAATGTTAACATTTCAAAACTTTAAAATTGAAGATGGAGATTTTTGCCTTAAGTTAAGTCTTTTCCAAAAAATCAGCTCTTTAAAAAAGGCCATGTATTTATTAAAAAAAAACTTTCGCCTAGTTTGTTCTTGAAATTAATGCAATTTACAAAACAAAATTCTCAAAATATTCTTCACTTTTTTTTCTTTAAACTTTTTCCACGGATAGGCGAAGGGACGCTTAAAATAATAGCGCGCGTTCCCTTTACAAAATTTTCCTCAAAAACGGCTCTAATTTTTTCTTTAAATGTCTCATAAGAATTGAGTAATATATACTTATAATGCCGGTATAGGTCCCATTTTCACGGTTAGCTCTGAAGTTTCGAAAATTGGAAATGTTTGAATTTTCTTTTGTGTCTTCCTCTAATATACAACAAAATACAAAGTAGAGGTTTTTCCTTCAAATAAAATTTGTTGTCCATAGTGAGTTTTTTCCTTAAGGCCCATGTACATTTTAAAAAAAAAACTTTTAGTAGTTTTCCCACAATTTTGCGAGCAATATTTGCAATTTTAAAATATTACAAAAATAAGAGTTTTTCAAAAACTGCTCCACATTTTTTCTTTCTACTTTCTGTAGGGATAAGGCTAAATGTAGTCTATAACTTGACATAAACGCCATACTGCTCTACCCTTTTGTTTTTCAAAAAATACAAAAATGTAATTTTTTGACTTCTCTCTCACGTCGTTAATATTTTTATTGGAGGCAGCATTGCGCCTGCCTCTGCAGTGATTATGACTGGAGGTCCCGGGGATCGATTTCCGACGGCCGCGGCTTTTCTACACTACCTGCATGCCTCGGTCGAATTCAGCCGCTGTCGCGAAGTGAATTCTAGTGGCCAGCTGCTCTGAATGGTATTTTACCGTGGTTTATCCGATTAATACCAGGGGAATGATGGAGTAGTACTCAAAATGGCCACAGACTGCGCGCAATCTTTCCTTCCCCTCCCATAGCCAATCCTTTCCTTTTACACACACACACTCACAGTTACTCTTACCACTTACGCTTGCCCTGCTGGGGCGGTATCTTTCTGGGGGACAGATACCTTAAGAGAGAAACTCTCACAAACCGGCGTGTAGGTCGGCGCAGAATCTTTATATCCAACGGGAAGGTACACCACTATCTCACGAATAAAAACATTCTCTAAATTTACGGATCTAATGACCGTAGCAGTTGGCGTGCCCAGAAACGTCCATCAATCAATCAATCAATAGATGACATTTGTAACACGGTTATTTAATTTAATTCTGAGCTTCGATGAATTTCACGGCCTCAAGTATTTTACTGGATATCGTCTTGAACTAAACCATTTTAAGGAAATTTTTACTACTAAAAATGAGAATTTTCCGACCTTATTTCTTCGTTAGACCGAAAAACTTTCTTTTATATGTATCACTTGCTTTAGTCACAGACGATATATTTTTTGCACTCGCAATTTTTGAGCCTGAATTTCGCATCACGAGAGAGAAGAGGGAGTTTGGTTATTTCAACTGCATGACTACTGAATGCAAGGCAAAATAGTTTCTATTACATTTCAGCGTCAGTGATTTTGACAACAACGCTTCCTGGTATTTTTTAATCTTAATTCAACTAATGTTGGTAAAGGAGTAGGGACATGGATTGTGGGGCTTGAGAAAATGTGCGTGCTTAATGCTATCTGAGAGAGACTTATCGTCTGGGTGCGTTGCTCCTCCGCCTACTGCCAGCTCCCTCTTGTTTATGCGCAGGTTTACACGCCGCGCTGTGACCAGTAGCTGATTCTGCCGGTGATGCGGGCTAAACAACGAGATGCGGGGAGGGGGCGGCTCGATTTCCAGTAGTGATGCGGTCCAGCCCTAATTATATTTTAAACCGTAAATATACCACTCTTAATACATGCGGAATTTATCCGCACAGGACAAGCAAGATCGATCACAAAAGAAACAACACCTACAGATCGTTCAAAATTAGCTTCTCCATTCAATAACAAATGCATCTTGGTTTATTTCCAACCAACAGCTGCAATGAATTCCATCTCGAAACTATAGAAAACCACATTACGTATGTCTCCAAACATTTTTACCATAGCATACCTCAAATTACCACAATAACCTACGTCCCCTTCGGCTAAGCAGAAATTCCACACACGATTCCATATTAAAAACAATTTCCAATCTATATCTTCTTTACAACGTTTTTGGAAATATAACTTCCCTGAGGCCTCCTCATAAAGTATTTCTCCCCCAAAAATATAATTTTAGAATTAAGTTATTACCATTACATTCATATTAAGTCAACAATACAAATGTAGAGTGTGAACTGAACTTTGTAGACCAGAAAATGTTATGTGTGTACAATAATAAAAAAGTTATGCGACATCGATGTTCAAAATTAAAAGCATCGATGTTAATAACATCATCTATGTTTTACAGCTGATTTTAGTAACATCTAATAGTAAAGTCTTGCACAACAAAGGTTAATTTTACAGTGCAATTGTGTACCAAAGTCGTATGGTACGAACACAAAAACAGACGGTACTACCATCAGTTTCACATTTTAACTTTTACAAAATTGTGATTATATGAATTTTTCATCAATGAGTAGCACATCGAAAACGTAAAAACGTCGACTTCATTTCATCGATGTTTTGAAAATATCGATATCGCATCCCTAAAGTCTAGTACGCACCTAGCAACAAAGTTGCGGTCCTTTGCATGACACTTGTTTGACGACTTAGTCGCCATGTGTAGTACTAGGCTTAATTGACAGGAGTCGGCGGCGGGGGTCGACATCCTGTGCACAAGTGTACTAAAAGTCCGGTGAAAATAAAAGGGGCAAGGATCACGGCTACCTAATGATTTACAAAATGATTCTGTCAATCACAAGATCGTAAGTAACGGCAGTCTTTGCGGATGAATCGCTAATCTTCTAAAATTGTGAAACAGACAAAAGTTTGATTAATTATCGACAAATGCAATAATAATATAATGCCGAATTTATTTGATTGAATTTGGGGAATTTTTGTGAAAATGTTTACTGTTATTTATCAACTTGCTTTTCGTAGATTGAACTATTTTAGTTTATACACATCTTGCAAAAAACTATTGACATAGTTTAAAGTTTGCAATTATGTACTTGGCATTCAGGATCGAATTAATCTAACATTTGCTAGCTGGCGGTGTTCTCAGGCCTAGGCTCTGTTTTCATTTATTATCCTTGCTTGGGATAATGGAGACATGGGGCCAGCAAGACGTATTCCCTAAGCCGTGTCTACCATACTTGGCCTAACTGAACTCTTCATTCCTCACACATTTATAGAAAGTGAGACAAGTGAGACAATAGCTAACGCTCAAGAATCGAACCACAGAAAGCTAGCACGCAGTACTTGAGCCACTCGAGAGGCTCTTGATATAATACTAATCATGAAATTAATTAATTTTACTTTCTCGCTACGGAGTTCAGAGATAGATATGTAATGCTGCGCGAAAAAAACGGCGAATTTTCGGCAGAAAAACTGTTATTACAGGGCCCTGGTGACGAAAATGTGGATAAATCCAGTTGCTAAATTTAAATGAAAAGTCCTCCACTCGTAGTGTAGCCAGAATCCATGTTTTGTGGGTTCTTGATAGCCAAAAGTCGATTGACGGCAAAACGTTTGTCCTCTATATTCATCAATCGATCTGCCTGATGTTGCGGCCCCTTGAATTTGAAACCGATTTTTTTAATTTGGCAAGTTTTTTACGTGAAACCTATGGAACATTTTCGAAATTTCCGAAAAAAAACCCTCTATCGTTTTCGATAAAATAGTTCTTCGGCATCTTCCTACAATACAATTATGAAGGTAGAGACTTTTTTCCTTAATGAAATCTGTTCCTTAAAAAATATTTTGAAGTAAATTTATGTACAATATATCAGAAATTTGAGTGCTTTCCGCGTAATTTTGCTTGAAAATACGGTGAGAAAGTAAGTGCTGGTTCAGCTCCAGTAGCTTTCCTAATAATATTTATAAACCAATACTGTATATAGAGCGGTAAACGTCTCTGTTTTTGTTGCCATGGACTTCGAGCACTTAATTCCCTCTTTCCAAATGCCCCTTAACCACGGGGGCGCACAGGTGCAAGCGACGACAAAGAAAATACGTCACAAAAAGCTGAACGTCGCGTGTAAACAAGTGCGTAACTGTTCCCCCCCCCCCTCGTTGCTTCATCCTCGAGCATTTACGTAGGGAACTAGGCTTCTCACGTGCCATTACGCAATGGAAATCCCTGGCATACTGAGCTGCAAATGCTAATAAGCGAGGTCTTTAATATGGAGGATGAATTATACTCACGTTACTCGTAATTTGATTACAAGAGATTGCCATCTCACAAGCTATTTACGACAGGGCGTACGCAATGGAAGTATTTTGATTTTCACTCGTGCCTTCTGAATTACTCTATCGTAGTTCTTAACAAGGCTCATTGTTTGAGAAAGCAAGTAAGGTTAAGGGGTAATTTTTAATGATCTGTGACAATTTGTTTATAACGTGTTTTATGCGCTAAGTGATAAACTATAATACCATTTGAAACAGAATATACACCTGGTAACCACCGGAATTTAATTTACTGAATGTGGAAATTGGCAATGCAGCTAAATGAATTCCAATTATTTTTCCTGCTGTAAATTATTTTTTGTTTCTTTTATTCAAAATTCTCGTTCTCAGTGCTCGGTAGACTTTCATATTAATATCAGTTCAAAATTTATTCTTCAAGGGAATTTCAAAATCAATACAGGAAGTAAGGCAAGGGCTTTAAAGGGAAATGGTTACTAGTTGTAAATAAGAAAACTTGTTTATAATATTTGACTTTTTATATTTATAGTTTTTTCTTTCATATATGATTTGTGACATTTTATTTTACACCTGTCGGCAAAACAACACATTCAATGTCGAGACAAATATAATCATGTTGTTTTCAAACACTTAACACTCAAATTTACAATAAACTTTCATATATATACTTTTTAAATATTTCCTCATTATCAAGTTTGAGTGCAGATTTTGTGTCTCATAACACATATCATACAATCACTATAATATACATTTATATGACGTTTATACATTTTTGTACAGTAAAACAAAATGACTAACATCACAGACAACAACATACATTAATACTTACAATTAACAATAGGAGATGAAAATATTTTTATACAAGGCCCAGGATATTGTTTAAATCCTTTCGCTACTGTGATATTTGAGTGACAATGACTTTTTTTCCTTAATGTCGTGCTGAATTATGTTGAATTATGTTTTGAGATTATTTCAGAAGGAAGTAGAACAAACACAAATTAAAAAATACATTAATAACACAAAATATAAACTAAAACAGGTACCATAAATAGTTATGTGCGTGTACAGTAGTGAAAATTTACAGCTATTTCTAAAATTGTATCTACCTAATTATTGCAATAAATCCATTATTTAGAAATCTAAAATAAATATTCATAAAAAAGTGTTGGTGATAATGATATGATGAAAGCAACGCCTCAATCGGCGTTGTGAAATAATTTACTTGATATGGATGCCGGATAATGTCACCAAGACTTGTTTACAAATATAAATGGCCTTCTTACACAATTATGAAATATGTTTATACATGTTGTCTGCAGCAAAAACGAATTATTTCGAATTATTTAGAAAAATGCAGGTCCAGAATTCAAAGCAAAAATACAGATTTGTACATCTGTTGTCTTCACGGCAATCTTCACACTCGTGCACACGCTCTAAGTAGTAAGAGAGTTCTGAAACGTTAATCGATGGGTGGATGGGAGCGATGCGATCGATGGTGGTGCAGTTCTCGAACGCTCTCGATGACGGATGGTGATGGCGATGACGGTGGTGATGACAGATCGAGGGCCATCGGCCGCGAGGGGAGCCACCCTCAGCACGACACGGGCCTGCTGTCGGATGGCGAAACTTTCTCCAGGTGCGCAGGTGTCTGTAACAACACAAAAAGGAAAAACATTAGTCAAGCTGTTTGCAGGCGACGAGCATTTGGGACGGCCGAAGCGCCGCCTTCATGGAATCCGAAGGGTGCGTGGCAGGGGAGGGAGGAGGGGGTGTGACGCACAACCTGCTGAGCACGCACATGCGTGCCTACGTGCCGCGAAGCCCCCCGACGTTGCGTAAGGACGCGTTCGAAGAAGCTCCCGAAGCCAAAAAGGATCCCGACAACCGCAAGAACAATGATTCATGCATTAAAAACAAACCGGTATTCTCCCGGAATCGGAAATGCATCAAGAGTCAATGCCTCAGGAGCAACATCTGGGATTGGATGCTTGCCAACAACCGAGACCGAAGATTTTATAACATAACTAATCCATCCTCTATCTCAACATACTACATTCCGAGGATGTAAGAGCCATGCTATAATATATCGATTTTACAATCCTGAACAGAAACATTTTCGGATTGATATTTGTATTATTTTACCAACTACAGGATTCGAGCAATTTTGGAAAGAATCACATCCAAAAGAAATGTGAACGTAAACATTTCTCATTCACAAATATTAGCCATTCCAATGTGATAAAAAATGTCGCAAGTTTTTACAAAATTGTCTCCAAAAAAATTCCTTCTTGGAATAATTCCCGGATTCGCAATTGCGTCATTTGCCGAGGGACAGGATTCCTGCAATTCCCGTCGGTCGTTGCGTTTCGGCCGGCGCCGTCTGTCGCCCACGAGAGCGCCGTCCACATCCGCCCGCGCGCCTCGCGGCACAAAAGGAAGCCCAAGATTGTGCCCAATGACGGCAGGCGGTGGCGGCGCGACGCGACGCGGCGCGGCTGTGCTCCCAGCCGCCTGCACGTGTTGAGGACACCCCGGCAGTGCAGATGGCCCGGCCCCGCAGCCGCCGTCTAACCATTATTGAATCTCGCAGCCGCTACTCCGGCTCGCTCGCTCGCCCGCACCAGATGCCAGGTGTTCTCCCGGCCCCAGCCGTCTCGCCGGCGCTGCCTTTCGTAACGCGGCCCGCATTATTAAAGCATCTACCCGCGACTCCGCGGAGGGGGAGCCATGAGAAAACGTCCCCTTCTCCAGCACGGGGGACGGTGGCACCCTTCGCGTTTTGCCCAATGGCCGGCACCCCTTCGGAGACCCCAGAGGCGTAGCTGACCGCTATCCCACACAGCGAAATGCAGATAGACGACTTGGAAATGCAACATACAATACCTCGCGCTTGACGGAAGCAATGTTTGCAAACAAACAAGTGCATTTTGCTTATTTCTTAGACTAATCAAGACAGTGTTATTGATGATGAAATCAGAGTCTTCGTCGGGTGCTGTAAATTCGGTTAACTTTCCGTTCTCCCTCCAATCTCAGGGCGCAACGCGTGTGTTCCCACGTGTCCCCTCATTCGTCCCCCCCTTTCTCCCGCGGCGAGGCGCACAGGTCCCTCGTCCCCCCTCGCAATTGGCCGCATGCTCGTCCCCCCGCTAACACTCACTTCCCGCCCTGACCCTGCTTAACTGCCTG